ATGACTGTGGAATGTAACAGGTGATGTGCCAGTACCTGAATATACTAGATATAAGGCGTTGCTCACCATGTGGTTTGAAATGATTCTGTAGTGAAGTTGAGGGATCCCAAGTTGCAAAAGTTAAACAGTGTTAGGAGGGATGATATGACAGACAGAATGGCACATACAGAAAGATGATCAAGCCACAGCTCCCTGGCAGTAGTCCTGCAACAGTCACTGAAAATGAGGAAGAAACAGCTAAAGGTGAGAATCCAGTTAGTTGTTTCTTAAACTATTTTATGAATGCACCCAAATTCTTTGAGGCCGTGTCGAATGGTACGTGTTACGATGGCTGTGAAAAGTGAATTGGGACAGATGTGGGAGGAAATGACTGTAGTCTTTTTTAAGGCACTATACTGGTATAAGTTAATGTGTGGGTGGTAGCAAGAGTTACTATATGCTCTCAACACTGTTAAAGCATTGGCATTTTGTCTCACGATGGTACATTGTATATTTCTGTTGCAGCACTCTTACAGATTTAAAACAGTTCTTTATTTACTCAGAATATGTCAAGGAAGGTGCACTGTTGATAAAGCTAGAGTAGACACATTAAATTGCATAAAACAAATATATACATCGTAATCCTGAACATTAACCTTATCAGTCAGTTGTTCACCACTGAGAACTGTGCCATAAAGCCAACGGTGGTCATTTTGAACACCTACTCTGGATTTGCAAAATTCACCAAGTCCCAATGCTGACATATGTAATGGTATAGTTTATTAAAATGTCTTTACTTCATTAATTTAATGTGTATACATATTTTTGGGATACTCTGTATTATTTTTCGTCTCATCCTCCTTTCAGAGCCTAAGTGATCTGTTACAGGTGTTACAAAACAGAACCTATCCATTCTTATTTCACATCTTCCTATTTCCAATGGGTTAACATTTTACAGTCTTTTAGGGATTCTATGATTGCAAATTCTTTGAGCATCTTCCTTCCAGTTTCTTCAACAGTGTTGTATAAAATCTATGGTGGCCAGTGACCCTTGTAAATCTTACATATGTGGCCAATCTCATGATGCACATTCCAGCTGATATTAAACTTCTTTCAGTAATCTTCCTGGCAGACCACACTTTGCTGCCTCATAACAGCACTGGTCTAGCTAATACTCTATAAATTTAATACTCACATGTATCGACACTAATGATGGTTTAAAATTTTTTACGATATTTTGATGTTAACTGACTGCAATTACACTTCATTCTTAATACCCTTCAAAAGTCAAATTTTATCATAAATAATTAAAACTGTTAATTTGTTATTGGAATATACTATATTAAAATAAGTTGTTTAATGTACTCAAAATATGGAGATAAAATCAATCTCCTGCAGTAACTATTTTTTTATTAGCCTATCAATGGAAAACCTCTTTCCCCACATAAATTTGAGTCTGAACACGAAATAACCAGATTCAGTCTGCAGATTGAGTGGTCTGAGCTTCTGACAGCTGCAGCCTCACACAGTGACCCTACTTTCTGTAATTTGTGGATGGAGGGACTATTACGGAGAAGAATATATATCTGCTTATCATCTTTCCTTGACATTTCTGTTTGCTGGCTTCATGCAAGGCTCTCATACCATCTGCACAGAGTATATAAATGATTTTAACTAGTGTGGCGTGAACTTCAATAACCATAGATGCTCATAGTTGCAGCGACCAAAATTTTGTCAGCAGATTTCCAGGCACGACTGTGTACTTCCATTGCTTGCACATCTGTTTGGATTATGGATACCAGCAGTAAACCCAACTGCAGATACTGTTACTACTCTAAATATTCTGGGTTGTGACACTGTGTAGTCTTGTTACCACCACTTTCAAGGAAAGAATAACCTCCATCTGCCGACCACAGATGGAGGCGAAACCTACAAGACTACATGACATCACAACCCAGGAGACCAGAATCCACATTCTCATCGCAGTTTTCAAACTGGTGTCTTTTCTGGTCTGGAGTCAGAATTAAAGAACTGGCTTTACATGCAAGCAATGATTTTTCAAGTTTCAAAAATCCATGTCACTGACAAAGAAAGCTATAAAAAAACAAGCTTGAGTTGAAACTAATGGACATACAGATGGACAGACACGACCAGCACATAATGTGTTCTTGCTATGCACTTCATGCAAAGAAAACATTAAAATGTGTTGTTAGCTCACATCAGCTGAATCACTTGTTGGATAAATTTATTAAGCATTTTGCAAAATTAAGACACTCCATGTTTATCAATCCCATAATTAGTTAAATAACTATAAGTATTATAAGGAAGCCTCTTTTTATATTCTGTAACAAACAGTCAACATTTCCTCCAACCTTTTGTATGTGCACTCTAATTTAACTCGGTAGAATGACGGGCTAATGGGCTGAGCAGAAAATTTAATTCCCAGCAAGTGTTCAGATTTTTCTCCTTTCCAATAGGTACCAAGAGTTCTTAAAGATGGGAGTGTCATGCTGACTACTCACTTCCACCTAGAGCCAAGGTTAACAATATGAGGGACTTAACAACCCAACCATCTATACACCATTATGCTGTGCCACTAAGGCACAAGTATAGCTTTCCCTTATACCCTGGGAATCATCTGAAGGAACTGAGAAAAGCCACAGAAATTCCAGACAGGATACTTCATGACATTTTAGGATGGAGAACTAGTGAAGACGGTAATAAAATCTTCTGCAGAATCACTTGCTGAAGATTTCAGCAAAAAGACAGCTACAGTGTCATCAATCAAATATTTTAATTTGTTATCAAAACACCAAATAAAGGAAAATGATCTTCAGACCTGCTGTTACTATATGAAGGATCCACAGATCTCTAAAGTACTACGCAGCTTTCAATAACAGTTAAGTTTGTGTTTCGTTCATAAGGAAGAAGTAACACCTTACAGTCCTTACTCTGTAAGTTAAAAATTCAGTCAATAACCAAAACATCAAAAAATATTCTTCCAAAACCAACCTTCTCCCCAAAAGTGTCATTGAAGACTGACTAATTTATAATTAGAAGACATGAATTTATAGCCATGTGAAAGAAGGGTGCATATTTTCCTACATTTCATCACAAACTACAGTTTATCCAACACGAAACTCTTGGTACAAATATTATATATTATTTTCAGCATGTCATAAAATATGATTAACAAAAATAATAAATTTTATTTATTCTGCAAACTTGCAACATCAGAGGTCTAATATAATTAATTAAATAGCTGTTAACTACATACTGACACTCAATAGCCATGAGGAGAAAATGTAATTGCTACCGCTCGTTCCACAAATTCAAGAGTTCCTTCAGTCCAGGAAACATAAATGCAGACAACAAGGTTGCTCCCCTTGGTTTGACATTGTTCATAAATTTAATTCACTGGACACTAAACATTACAAGTTAACCACTTATTTATGCCATCAGGATGTAAACTGACGGAGTTATACAATAAAGAAAATCATATAAACTATACTGAAAGCTATTAAAAATGCTGACCAAGAAATAATGTGGAAATAACTAAGTATATGTTCTTTTATAATGCCAAAACGTAGGTCATATATATAAATGAATTAACAGAAAACTGAATTCGAGAAACACATGCTATCATTAAGATCAAAATCTCTCATATTCCTGTTCTGCCCCCTACAAATCTAATATTAAAATAAAAGAAAGTGAACTACTTCCTGATTTTCATGGACCTGAAAGTTGGTCTAGAACTCTGACAGAAGAATGGTGAAAGGAACAGAGACAAAAAGGCAGGATAATGAAAGAAATTTCATCATGAGGAAGATGATGATGAGAAACCTTCAAGTTCCAACAATAAAGTGTAAGTTCTTAAACAGCTGAATAACTAGTGACTGCTCAAGAAAACCCTAGAACACACAGTTTGTTACATGCCATCACGGAAAGATCTGTACGTTATACAGATGGCATTCACATACTGTTCATGTATCACAAGATACACGTTAAGAAGTTGTGTCCAGACCTGAACACTTCATTTAGAAACATCTTATCCACACAGTTCAGCCATTTTGTTTTCCACCTGTTGAGGGATTGTTTTGAAGCAATCGGAATACAGTCGCTAAACAATACTGCATGTTCACTCTACCAGAAAGAAAGTCATCTAACAACGTAAAACAGTAAAGAGATGTTCAGTCTATGCTAATGCTGTAACAGCTCTCAGGGAAAGGAAGTGCGGATAAAAACATTTCTAGAAGGAACAATATATGGAGATAACCTTAAGACAGAACAGAGATTAGAGGATACAAGCTAGGAGCTGGATTTAAAAACATCAGTACCTGATTTTGTAGTGGTACAACTGACTGGCAGAAGTATATGTCAAGTAGATATAAAATGAAGATATCCAATGCTGAATTACAGTACCTTCAAAAACAACACAGCAGTTACACTGAGATATTTGATCAGTGGGGATTCATTCATTAGTTTCAGTATTCTGAAGCAGTCTGTAAGTTGTCTACACATCAGAGTACCGACCTTCAATCGTTTTACTAATATAGTACACTCTAATCAAGATAATTAAATGAGCTCACAATTAATTTTAATGTGGAAGTAAATGAAACATAAGCAACTATACTACCAGAGACAAGTTAGGAAATGCAAACACAGCACAACAATTCTGGTGCTTCCAATGAAATTTGACCTTTGTGAATGGTGCAAGTGATGTGAGCTGTCTGGGATCGATGACCTTTGCATGGGTGGAGTGGGGTGTCTGGTACTTATGTAGCTGGGTGATGACATTAACACTGAGGATTCTCACATTTTAAAATGTAGCTGCCTGGGGATTCCCATGCAGGGATTCCCCAGTTAACCATGGTATATAAGGTAGCCTGTGAATTCCACATGCAGAAATTCCCTATCTTTTCCACCCACAAAATGCATGTAGGTCTTTATACAAATTACGCATTACAGTTATCCTATCTTAATCAAAATTGGCATATGTGGATGTACTTCAGTAAAATTTCCCAATGAGTTATATGTGGATTAAGATACAGAAGTGGTGATGCTAACAGAGAGACTTTTGCAACTTTCAGATGCAAAAACACGTAAAAATAAAAGGTATGCACATGTGCACTAATCACAAGCTTTCTGATAACTGATTGCTGGTTTCACATTTGCAAACATGTCTACACCAGAAATTGTGTATCTTGTTTTCCACCAAGAATGTGAAAAAACAAAATATCTAAATTCTGTCTCTGAACTGTTTTGAAACAGTACCTCAACAGTCACTATTTAGCTGCAAAACATTCTAGATAAAGGAAGAAATTTGTCTCGGAACATCATCAATACAATTTTGCACAACAGCTTTGGAACTTCGTTTCCAGGTGTGGACATTCCTTAAGGATCTTGATAGCATAACATATTTAAACAAGACTTCTGGTCTATAATTTTATACTAACAATTTGCAACTTTGAAAATGTCCAGCATTGCTAGTGAAACAACTTGTGACAAACTTCCCACACCTACTTCATGTTACACAAGAGATTATATAAACATTAATGCTTGAGCTGATTTCACATGGAAAGTTTCCAGTGCTGCAATGGGTTCAGCATTTAATTACCAAATATAACTTTAAAAGTATACATGAAGGTGGGGGGAAATAAAACAGCAACAGGTCCTAGAACTAACCTAACTTCAGCTCAGAATGACAACAGTTTTAATTCAGTTCTTTTCAAGGTTGTCTCTCGCACGACATGCCGGTAGCAACTGTACACGTATCTCTGCACCAGTACACACAGTACTTGGGACACTGCCATTTATCAAAATATAAACTGAAAAAGCACTAAAAGAAAATTAAAATTAGAAATATTAATTTACATAATTTATTTTTGTATTATGTAAGATTTGAGGTTTTCACAGCGGTGAGTATGAAGATTTCTGTCTTCTGGGTTGTTGCGCTGTGTAGTCTGGTCGATGTTAACCAACGTTTCAGAGGTCATACTGCCTCCGTCATCAGGGCGATGA